AGAAGAAAAAAAATCCAGATTTAGGTTTCTCTAAAATATTCTTTTTCAATGTTTTAATTTTTGAATTGAATTAATACAGATTTTAATTATATCTAGAAGAAATTACAGAAAGCACTCAAGAAAATTTAATATTCTATATTTCAATATGAAAAGCTTCATTAGCAAAAGCACCTGCAAATAAAATGAAATTAGAAGCCAAAAGAAAAAACAATACAGAAGATGAAAAATAGAAAAAAAAAGCATTTACAGTGCATACCCTCAGGGGGTGCTGGAAAAGGCTCGGCCTTGGGAGGGGTTCGACACACTGTCATAAAGAGAACAAAAAATGAGGAAAGTAAACAAATGAACATTAAGCCTAAATATATATGTATATATACACACAGGGTAGGGCAAAAATGACTATACAGTTGTTTCATGTAGAAGAGAGTTTAATTTCTAACTATCACCCTGAAACAAACAATAATTAAATTGGTTTCAACTGCCGTATTTTCTTCACTACAAACAATATAATATCAACTATTCTAACTGTACAGTATCAACTGCATAGCAACTTTTGTCCCATGTTGTATATACTAATATATATAATTTACACGTCACAATATGAAGAATGGTGTAATTGAAACATATCACATGCACATGCAATTTTCAGTTTGAAACATCCGAGCTTGACTCGCAAAACAAAGTAAACATGTAAGAAGGATATGTTTTGTAATTCGTGTAGTGATACTAAGGGAGGAGGGGGGGATAAAAAACAGCATGAAATAACCAGAACACCGGTAAGATACTACCAGAAATAGCTACTGAGCTACAAGCCATCTTTAACTGTGTCTACAAGTTTTACAGTACAGTGATGTTGGGATGTAGCCAAGCAATACATTACATCAAAAATCATCATTACTTCTTATCAAATGAACTAAATATATAATGAAGATTGACAAAAATACTTTTATTTATTGTACTTTTACAAACAACTAACTTTCAGTGTAGGAAATACTCTAAATTTGATTTTACAATCAAAACAATTTTTTTTTTCATATTCAATTTTTTGAAAGTGGTATGAGCCTATTAACAGTTTTACACACATATGATATATCAGACTTGAATCAGAAAACAAAACCTTGTATCTATGCAGAGATAAAACATTTACTGGCGTGTATTTTAACATTTTTCCAGATAATCTTTTGCTGTATAAACATTGTTGGAGAACCTTGTTTTGATTAGTATGCCTATGTAATCACCTAAACCTAATTACTAATTAATTTATTTCTCCGAAACAGAGCCAGAGGCCACCTGTTTTAACTACTTGTGTTGTCTGTCAGTCAGTCAGTAAACACTAAAATATGTCACATAAAGGATGCTTAACATTGCAATTTGTTTTGTCGTGATGTCAGTAAAATGTGTGTATGTCATGAATCATGAGAAAAATTATGCACTCTGTAGGCTACGATACAGCATGATATATGAAATTCAAAAGCAACAAATAAAAATATTTGTTATTCTTAATTTTATTTGCTCTTGAAGCAGAACACTTTCAGGGACCCTGCGGAAGTACATATAGTGTCCTAGTAATCTACTACCTTATACAGGAAAGTCTTGAGTACTTGTATGTGGTAGCATGAGCTTAGATTCAATCCTAAGTCCTCTTGTTAGAAAAACCAAATCTCGCCCCATTAGGACTTGAACCAATTATTTTAATGGTTTCAGAAAGGTTATCCAGATTTTGCCAACTTCTATGATAGATTGACTCAGTGAATTATTGGTTAGTTACAGTGTAACCACCTAACAACCTTGTGGAAAACAAAAACATCATTTATAACATCCCTTGTAAGTGTGGTGAAACAAAAATACCAAAAAAAGGTCAAAATTTAGGACTATAATAATTATACAGAACTCTGCAACACCAAGATATCTTCAATAAACCATCGAGCCAGAGAAGAAGACCATAAAATAAAATGGAACGATGCTAAAATCACTACCACAAAATACTATTCCTTCTCAGAATTTCACTGAAGATGGCAACAGATTATTAGCTGAAACTTTGGATATAAACTAATTAGTAATTAGATAATGATGATTATATAGGCATCTAATCATGACGACAACTGATCACTAAAAACCTTACCATAAGTACTTAACTGCTGGAAATATATAGTTGTGATATGCTCTGAAAATTATAATATGATAAACTCATAATTCTAGAAAGAAAGAATTCAGATTTGATAACTTCACAGTGCCTTAGGGTACAAGTAAACCATATACAAAAAAAAAAAGCAGAATTGCAGAATCATAGTTTTAGACTTACTTAAATGAAAGAATTAGGACTTATAACTTAACAATGCCTTGGTTCAGCCTTTTCTTAGTGTTATGTTATTGTGCACACATATATGACTTTAAAAATCAATTTAAAATTAGATTTTTTTTGTTAAATTATCTTAAATTTGATTCTTAACGAGCCTTCAAATTCTTTAGGATAACTCATTTTGGAAATCAAAAATAAGCTTAAAGTTGATTAGATTTGGGTTTAGAATTCTGATAAATGCAGCCAATTCTTGAGAAAGGATGCCTACTGTAAAACCTGTTTACAAATAAGAATGGAAAGTGAGAGACTGAGTTATTTATGTTAAAATGCACTTAGCAGATGAGTTGATTTGTTGGGAGGAAAACAAAGTTTAAGATGAAAATAAAAACAAATAATGTGATGAACATTTATTTACACAAACGTTTTGGAATGTACTTAATCCATCTTCTGCATGTTATACAGAATAAAGATGAGTATAACACACTGAAGATCAATTACATACAATAAGAAGCATTCGTGTAAATAAATGTTATTCATCGCATCAGTCATCTTCATCTTTATTTTAAGAGTTGCGTTTTATATATTGTACAGATCTATTAAAAAACAGTAACTTACACAGAAAAACAATTATTATATTACTTTAAAATCAAGCATTTGACTGTACAGCATCATCTCATTCGTGTAAATAAATGTTATTCATCGCATCAGTCATCTTTATTTTAACAGTTGAGTTTTATATATTGTACAGATCTATTAAAAAACAGTAACTTACACAGAAAAACAATCATTATATTACTTTAAAATCAAGCATTTGACTGTACAGCATCATCTCCTTACTCATTGGTACGATACAGCTGTGTAGCAGTCCAACAATTAGGAAAGATTTCTTCTACTGAATCTCTAAGACTTAATTAATTGCTAATCAAGCACTTGGCAGTTTGTTAAAAACTAGTAAATGAAAAAACTAAAGAGAATTAATTAAATTCCTGAGTTAGAATATAATATCCTCTTCATTGTTTACCTCCTTACATCCATAAGGTAAATTTTAACTAACCCATCATCAGATAGTGCCACTGTTTCTACAGGAAACAGTACAATAATGCTAGCCATTTTTTTGTAGATACCATGATGTGAGGAAGCACCATGATGATCAACTAATCAAACACAACATATTATTAGGCCCAATCAATAAATTTAATAACAAACACCACTTATCACCCAGCTCTAGTTATGGCCTGTCTTTCATTATTTCCAATAGTTCAGCAATGTTGTTTGGTCATCTTTTGACCTTCTCAGTTTTTAGACAAGTCCATACAGTTTGAAGAAAGTTCATATCAGGACTATGTGTGGACAAAGTCATGGATCTGAGTGTTCCATCAGCTTCCGTACCATCAAGATATCATTTCAACACATTTGCTGTATGCTTTGGATTGTTTTCTTGCTGGGAAATAGATCCATCCCAATGAGTCATGTTCCTAAAAGAACAGAATGATGGGTCAGTATCCAATTGTACGTGTTAGCAGTTAGGGTGCCACTAGTCTTATGCAGATCACCACTGTTGGCTGAGATTCAGCCCCAAACTTGTACTGATCCCCTAAAATTCTTCATCGCAGATGTTTTACACCAACTTTAATACCATATTCTTATCCACTGTCAAAGAAGCTATTGTTCATTGTTGACAAACAATTTGAGCTTGAATTCACGAATACAGAACACATCTGCAGCATTGCTCATCCTACTGTTTATGATACGATGTTCATTTCAACCTTTTGGTTGGTTATCTCTTATCAGGAGTGGTTACTAACCAAGCCACTATACATCCACTAAGACCACTTCGTGCTAATGTCCATTTTACTGTTCTGGAGGTAAATTTATATCGGTTTTTACAGCAAGATTATTAGCAAGAACTGTATTTGTCTTGCATTAAGAGCAAACTAAACTTACATTCTAGTGTGTTTTTGTTTTCTGCTGTGACGGGAGAGCTACAGACAAGAATGATTAGGAACCATTGGTTTAATTAACACCCATTGATTTGTTTCTTCTCAGAGGGCAATTGCACAACCAATATTAGTAAAAAATTGCTAAATAGTATCTAGTTTGGCTTTTAACACATCAATTTATTTGATCTATAATTTTCTTAGGTTGTGAAATTTCCAAAATTTTGTTAAAAAGACTGTTGTTTTTTAAAAAGTACTAAGATATCTCCCATCATCTTGGACTTTAAATTTATTTTATTTTATTACAATTTACTGCTTTTATAGTAAGAGTTGTACACTGTAATAACATATACTTAATCAGTAGGTAGACTCAAAATGAAACTATAAATGTGTTATTGTTGACCAGAATGTTCCACTTTATATGAACAATCAACTTAAACTTGACTGATATTTATTAATAAACTTATTCTTATATTTTATTTTGCCAATTGCAGTGGTCACAACTTATGGTTATAAAATGAAAAAAAACAACAGCAACAAATAAACATTGAGAACTACATTTATTGGTGACCTACAACCCGACCTATCACAACGGTCAAGCTAAGTAACGATATTTTTACTAAAATATACTTGGTTGAGATCAGTTTGTATCTAACGAATATTGTTTATTTTCATCAATTCATAAGTTATTTTACTTATCTATGTTGTTTGAATACGATAACCTTAACAACAGCATTCAATAAATAAGGATCTGAGTCACTGGAATATTTTGTCATTCTACAAATGTAACTAGGCTTAACTGATGTATTTCATTAATGCTTTTGTAAAAACTTTTGTTATGGTTGGATTTCTGTGGCACAACACAATATATATATATATATGAAAGGGGTGAATTTGTGTCTAATAACTTGTGTTAGAAGAGAGATTTTGGTTTAAAATGTTTCATTTCTTATTGTCTGCATCTTTTAAATTGATATTTTTGGTGTATGATGCATATTTAATAAACTTTTTGAAAGACAAAACCCCCAAAAGACGTCAATAGACTTCTAAGTCAGCCTGTACACATACACACACATACGTATCCTCATATGCTACTAATGATAAAAAAATGTATCACTTCAAAACAATATCAGATAGAAGTAAAGGAAAACTTGGGAATTAATTTAATCACCGTTTGTTGCTCATGTTAAAAAATAAAAAACTTTGATAGTAAAAAAATATGGGGGGGATTTAATCAAGGTTAATTTTTGGTTTAAGTTCATTTTAAATATACTGTAGTAAAAACAATTCTCTGACAAAGGAGGAAAAAAACAACTAAAATGCTTCACAAATAATTTTAAACAGCTCTATCTACTGACTACGCTTTTCTTTAGATCCAAATGGCATGTAGAGTTTAAATAGTGACAAACTAAAATGGCCGCCATTCTGGACTTGACAGTGTCAAGTGTTTGATCTTTACTCACATTCTCTCGAAGGATGAAAAATTTCATCGTAGTAACCTTGCTCCTTTATCTCGGCGCACGACTTCAAGTCTTCTCCAGAGTCTGACTGAGGAATGAGGCTGTCAGAGTTTTCTCCAGCCTTTAGTTGAAGTGACCTATAGAAATGGTAAATTACATGTAAATGTATACAAAACGATTCTAAATAATAGCCTGTATTTTGAGTGGTGAAATTCAAATATAGACTAAGATAAGGAGTTCTAAAAGAAATAAGTCATATAAACTGGGAAGTTTTAACAAGTTTAAAAATGAATTCACAAAAGGCTGTCAGTGTACAACTCCCATGTGTATTATCTGTCTTTAACAGTAGTGTTAAAGGGTTTGATTTTTGCTATTTTATCTCTGTGTTGAGTAACCCTATACAGACCACAGTAGAACATATAAAACAAATACATACGATGTTTGTTTGCCATCTGGTCGCCCTTTGTTGAAACTTTTTCTGACATGGCTACTGTAACATAGAACAAGACAGATCTATGTAACTTGGAGGAGGTTAATATTAATAAATAAAATTGTAATCTTCACTATACATGCTGTTTACATTAGGTTGTTTCAAATAACACTTCACCTCATAGTTTGACTAAAAAAACCTGTATAATCTGAATCATTATTTCCATACTTAATCACCCTGCACTCGTTAAACAATATAATAATTTAGTACAAAAATTCAATTCCAGCTTCTCTAGGTAAATACTTATAATTATCATCAGATTGAATATTTCAGTTATAGAATCAAGCTTCTTCAAGTATATACAGACAACAAAGTTTCTTATAACTCCCGAGTTAAGCGACTACTCTGACTCCTCCTTCACCTAAAAATAAGTAAAGATGGGTGCTAGGATACTTTATCATGCCAGGTAGCTTCTGTTTAATCAGCAGAGTCTCACTAGGTTTTTTTTCTTTAGTTATACAAAATCCATTTCTTAAATTATTTACATAATTTGAGTTAAAAGTGTGACTCAAACCAGTGCAATGTTCAAAAATATGAGGTTTTCTTATAATGTAATAAACTGAATAATTAATGAAACAATACCAATTGTGTCACTCAGTTTATGTTATTCAGTCTAAAAGATCAATGGAAAAAATAATGTATCAGAAAAAAAGATTAACAATGATCAATGGAAAAAATAATGTACCAGGAAAAAAAAACATGAAATATCAGACTAAAGGAAAAAAGATTAACAATGATTAATGGAAAAAATAATGTACCAGGAAAAAAAGATTAACAATGATCAATGGAAAAAATAATGTACCAGGAAAAAAAGATTAACAATGATCAATGGAAAAAATAATGTACCAGGAAAAAAAGATTAACAATGATCAATGGAAAAAATAATGTACCAGGAAAAAAAGATTAACAATGATCAATGGAAAAATTAATGTACCAGGAAAAAAAACATGAAAAATCAGACTAAAGGAAAAAAAGATTAACAATTATCAATGGAAAAAATAATGTACCAGGAAAAAAAAAACTCATGAAAAATCAGACTAAAGGAAAAACAGATAAACAATTTTTCTCACTTAAAACCTGATCCCTGTGAATGAGGTTAATAAAAATACAATAAGTCTATTGCACTAAGTTTATTTTCTAGTTACTAAATAATAGTAATACTACCAGAAGGTTAGAAAAAACACTAAGTTACTTTTCAGAACTGAAACTTCAGAGATTTATTAATATTACAAACATAGATGCAAGAGGAGAGCCTAAAAAAATAGTATGACAAAGAAATTACAAAAAAAAAAAAGAATTACCCAATTGAAAAGGCTGGTAGAGGGCAAGGTTTAGATTGACTAGCTGAAGGAATTCCAAAAGGCTGCACTCTTTTCAAATCTACTACGTACACAGACACGTTGGTCAGAGAAAAGGTTCCGGCAATCTGTTAAAATATTCAAAACCAAAATTAAATAAAATTACGTGATATCTCACACACGTCAGAGCTCCTATGAGTACAGTACTTTTAGTTTTATATAATAAAAGCCTGTTTTCTGCAAAAGAAGTCAAATACACTATTTGTGTCTTATTTTGTACATTTTTTTTTGAAGAAATGACTATCAATTAGTGTCTGTATACACACTTAAAGAATTTGATAATATAATATTGACAAATAAAAAAAAAAAGATAATTTAACCTGGCTTAATTATAGTATTTTGGCACTTGTGTATAAAGTTAAAATCATAAATAATATTCAACATTAAACTGGTACACAATTAAAATTTTAACCTGGCTTGTTTGTTTAAAGTCACATTTAGCTATCTGTTGTGTCCACTGCAGGGAATTGAGCCCCGGATTTTAGCGTTAGAAGTCCTTAGACTTTCCACAATCTCATTCAGGGACTTTATCTGGTTTAACCAACACTTACGGTTGTAATTCTTAAATAATTACTCTGAGATTATTTAAGATAACTAACCATACTTGTTCCTCCCCACAAACTGGCTTGAACAAGTTGGCCTCACCATTTACAGTTTAAATATCATCTAGTTTTGTAAAACTTTAGTATTTCCACATTCACAGGCTCAATGTACAACAATCACCTGTGAACGTACTATACAAATAACTGTTTTCACCTATTGATTACTAAAGTGAGCACAAGCAAACATTTGATGAAGACTGCTATAATATACAAGCCATGACCCACAAAACATTAGCGATAGTTTTATGCCCTTCACATCAATTTTTCATATTCTGTCACTTTCACACAGGCCATTTAAGCTATGGTTTCTTGGAGGCATTATGTGTTAGAACAATAAATCCTGGTCTATTTGAAAAAAATTTATGCGGTCAGACAAACACACTTACATAGATGTAACTTCATTTAATAAAATTACATATACATAACTTTATTTAATAAAACTACACCTAAAGTAAATAACAAAGTAAAGTAATGGTACTTATAATAGTGTACAGAGATTGAAACAGTTGTAAGCCTTTTGACACGTGTTTATGAGCTGAAACAAAGAAATTCACAAAAACGAAGAATAAAATCCATAGTAAAGAAAAAAGTACCTTTTAGGTGTTTACAGCAATTTACAAAATGAACTGAAGCTAAATTATTGC